ATATTTCAATTGGATGATATCTTGTGCATTAATAAGTGTTATATGTTTCAATTCATATCAATTGTATCCACTCTCATTTGGTATCATATCATATCCTTTTCTTGTATATCTACATCATCTATGCTTTATTTCTTTTGGAATTATTTTTTATGATGTCAAAGGGAGAGAGTATGATAGACAATATTCAAAAAGAGGAGAGATATATGATCATGAGATTATACTTAGGATTATATATGTGTTTAAATATTTATATATGTGCTCCATATATGCTTGTGTCAATCATACCATTGATTTTTTGCAACTACAATGTGCTTTATTATCTATCTAATTTGTTATAATAAAAAATGGGAGTTTGTTAGTTTTGCGATATCTAGTATTGCTTTTTTTATGATAACACATTAATTAATCTAATTAGTTGTCAAGTATTTTTGTAGTTGTAGAAATTAAATTGAAGAATTTCATTCTTACTGATCAATCATTCAAGAGTTCTATATTGGAAGATTATAGAGAAAGTTCTCAATATTTCAAATTATGAGGAATACGAGCTCAAAGAGTTGAGATTTATTTTTTAAGAGGTTAAAAATATTTTTATTCTTTTTGTGAGCTCAAAAGTTTGATATCTTTTTTATAAACTTACTTCTAATTTTCTACCCAAAAATGTTTTTATTTATTTGTCAATGAGTGTTGAGGCAAATGTTTCAAAATGATTTTTGAGTCAAAAAGTTTGAGAATGTTGTGTGTGTTTTTCACTTTTTTGGTCAAATAATTTCAAAATTCATAAACAAAATCTTATCAAACATTGGATAAAAATGATATTCAAAACTCTTTCAAATTGCCCAAAATATTTTATCCAATAGGCTGTTTAATGGGATCTCAATAACCTATCAATATACTGTCACACAAAGCAACATGATGTTGGCAGGATCTCAAGAGGCCACCAAAAGTTTATACTTGAACAATCAGTCTCTATATACGTACTCAAGTTTTGAATAACTTGATATAAATCATCAAAGCTCGGCTTCTTTGATGTGTCAATTATGAGTCTTGGTAGATATGACTAATTACCTTGATAACCTTGCAGACCATGACATCCTTGGTAGCATTTACAACCTTAATTACCTAACTAACCTTGATGTCCATAATTCATTATCTATCCATTATGACATTATGTCTAAGTCTCTGGGCAATTCCCTTTATAACATTGTTGACTCTAGGAACCTAATTGTAGAGCTCTAGCAACCCCTAAAAGGATTAGTAACTTCATTCCTCCAAGCTAAACTAGAATGATAATTACGTTCATGCTAGAAATTTCTTTGATACTGCCATTGAGATATCCCATATCCAACAAGATCAATATGCTCCACTATCGAATCATGTGACCTCTATGAACACTGAGTTAATTAGTCTTAGGAAGGAAGCAATCATTTGTGTACTATATTTTATTCATGTGGGGAAAGATTATAAATTAGCGAGACCATCGAAGTGGACTTACACTTTAAGGGAAAAGGTGGGGAAATACTGTGGATGAAGATAAACTTTTAAAAAAATAAAATTAGATTACACAAGTGTGTTGAAAAAAAATAGCTTAAAATGGCATAAAATGGCATGTTAAGTGGCTATTTTGTGGTACAATTATTAGTGGGGTCCACTTCCGATTTAGGTCGGGTCAAAGAGGATTCGGATTCTTCGTAGTGAGACGAAGAGATTGATATATTGTACGCTCAAAACGGATAATGGGTGAATGAGATATTGATTCTCAAAGTAGATCCATTTGAGTTGGAAAATAAATGGAAAAAGTGAGATTTGTCCCACATTGGTTTGGAAAGTGGATTTGCCCCCCTTATATACAAAAGCTCTTTTGGAACTTGTAGAATTGTATAGCATAGAGGCTCTCTCGCGGGGGGAGGGGTGCAAATCAAATTCTAACTAGAAATAAGAGCGAAAGGCTTGATTCAAGCTTGGGCTCGGTCAGAATGACCGAACAGGTAATTTTGGCATGGCTTCCTAGGTCGTGACTTGGGCCCTAGTTATGCTGTGCAACCGGATGCACCATGCATGGTGCATCTAGTTATGCTGTGCAACCGAATGCACCATGCATGGTGCATTCGTTCGGCGACGAGTGACCGAACATGCAATTTTGGCTTCCTAGGCCGTGACTTGGGCAATAGTTATGATGTGCAAGTGTGCAACCGAATGCACCATGCATGGTGCATTCGTTCAGTCGGCCAAGCAACCAGTGACCGAACAGGCAATTTCGGCTTCCTAGGCCGTGACTTGGGCCCTAGTTATGCTGTGCAACCGAATGCACCATGCATGGTGCATTCGTTCGGTCAATTGGTGCATTCGTTCGGCGACCAGTGACCGAACAGGCAGTTTCGGGTTCCTAGGCCATGACTTGGGCAATAGTTATGCTGTGCAACCGAATGCACCATGCATGGTGCATTTGTTCGGTCAGTTGGTGCATTTGTTGGGTCAGTTGGAGGCCGATATGCTGTGCAACCGAATGCACCATGCATGGTGCATTCGTTCGATCAGTTGGAGGCCAAGACTTGGGCAATAGTTATGTTGTGCAACCGAATGCACCATGCATGGTGCATTCGTTCGGTCAGTTGGAGGCCGATATGCTGTGCAACCGAATGCACCATGCATGGTGCATTCGTTCGGTCAGTTGGAGGCCGAGACTTGGGCAATAGTTATGTTGTGCAACCGAATGCACCATGCATGGTGCATTCGTTCGGCTAGTTTCCTCCTAGGCCGAGACTTGGGCTATAGTTATGTTGTGCAACCGAATGCACCATGCATGGTGCGTACGATGCAAAACGACGTCGTTTTGACTAAAAACGCGCGTCTCACTTTAAAAAAATCAGGTTCGATTCTCGGCAATAGCATTATTGTGGATATATAGTTATGAATTTATGGATATTTAGTTCATTCATTCTGGATATTTAGTTCAATCATTGTGGATATTTAGTTCATTCATTGTAGATATTTACTGCATTCATTCACTGTGGATATATAGTTATGAATTTATGGATATATAGTTATGAATTTCTGGATATTTAGTTCATTCATTGTGGATATTTAGTTTAATCATTGTGGATATTTAGTTCATTCATTGTGGATATTTAGTTCATTCATTGTGGAATTTTACTTCATTCATTCACTGTGGATATATAGTTATGAATTTATGGATATATAAAAATGCTATTGCCGGGAATCGAACCTGATTTCTTTTTAAAGTGGGACGCGCGTTTTTTAACCAAAACGACGTCGTTTTTGCATCCGTATGCACCATGCATGGTGCATACAGATGCACAACATAATTTGCGAGACTTGGGACCCATGGCCGAAACTTCCAATTTCGGCATGCGCGAACCTATCCTGTCTGTGACCGTTGGGTGTTCAATTCTGCTGTTACGGAATTAATTCTTTGAGTTAATTTCAATTTTTAATTTTGAATTGAACCCATGTTAATGGTTGCTGTTACAGGAAGGTGGAGGGGTGCCCTTAAGTGCTAATTAAAAGCTATTTAAATCCTCCACCCCTATATAAAAAGGAGTAGAGGTAGCAGAATTTTACAGAACAAGAAAGTATAATTTCCAGCCTCAAAACTCTCTGCTTCTACTCTTTCTTTAGCCATACTGTGTTCATCACCTTGTTCTTGTTTGCCGGATTCCTTGTTTGGGTGCTCAAACATTGAATCACAAGCAAGTTTTATCCTGGGAAGCCTAGGCCACGAAGCTCCTAGCACTTTTTGGGAGGTGGCAAATAAGGTTTTAAGGAAAGAGTGATCGCTTGACTCTTGCTAAAACCCAACACCAAACACTAGCCAAATTCTCCATCTTTCCTTCCCTTACTTTCCAGAAAAATAATAATCTTATTTAATTTGATTATTATTTATTTTTCTACCAACGGATCCAACAAAGTGAATTTCAAAAATGTTAAATGTACACTAAAAACTTTAAAAGTGCACACTAAGATATTTAAAAGTTTAACTCAAAAACTCTACAATTAAATTTAAGAAACTCTTAAATGTGCATAATAGAGAACTCTAAAAGCGCACAACAAAAATGCTAAAAGTGTATACTAATGGGCCGTTTAGTTGAAATGAGAGAATTAGAAGGAAAATAAATTACAATTTCATGGGAGATGAATAATCAATAATGTGAGAATAAAGTGAACATTTAAATTATAGTGTTTGATTTACAGTAATAGAATTACTGAAAATTTCAATTCTAATGTTCAGTATACATTTAAATTAAAAGAGAAGAAGTAATAAAAAGTCTAAAATGTCAACGATCGATTTGATCGAATTTTGAAAAGTAGTTATCACTATTCAGAACAACAACAACAACAATAATAATAATAATAATAATAATAATAATAATAATAATAATAATAATAATAATTATTATTATTATTATTAATGCCCATACACCATTGACTGTTGTATATAAAGAATGAAAATTTTTCTGTTAAAAATTTAAGCAAATATGCTATACTTATACGCTATACTTATATAAAATACAAATTTTGTTGATGAAAACACACTGCCGAAATTAAAATTTAACTTTTGAAAATTTATATAACACGCTGCAAATGAATTGAAAGCAACAAAATAGATTAAAGATTTTTGATAAAACATACTTAGTTGAGATTGAGTTATTGATTAACATTTTATGTTGAGAGTAGAAAAAGAAGACATTCGATAATCGAGAGAAAAATGACAAATACTAATTTTAGGTTAAAAAAGATATATTTAATTTTGTCTCAAGATTTAACTGATAGCATTTATCTTTTATAAAAAAGAAGCAAACAATGCAACCCATGCTCTTGCTAAGTACTATATTTATAAGTTTGGTTGTTTAAAGTGGCATTCTAACCCTCATCAACTCCAGTCCTCCCTTCCTTTATCGTGTATTGTATTCGGACTTAATTTAATTCTCAAAAAATAGAATTATTTATCTTAAAAAAAAAAAAAAAAAAAAAAAAAAAAAAAAAAAGAAGAAGCTTTTAGGGCATCCAAAACTGCTGCCCCATTTCCAGCGAGAAAATAGGGCTATAACAATTACAAAAGGCGGGAAATTCTAACTTTCGCGCGCTATTTGATTTTATTCCTCCACCCGCCTTTCATATTTGACCTAACAGCCGATTTATTCAATCACAGTCATCTTTTTGATCACCCGAAATTTGGAGCTAAAGAAAATAGAACGGAAAATGTTCGGAAACAGCAGCCAATTCGACTCCGTCGCCGCCTTCTCCGGCGGCGGCTTTGTCCCATCTCAGTCCACTCAAGGCCCAGACGCATCCCATTCATCGGCCAAGGTGTATAAACAAATCACAGTTCATATTTCTGCATATATACACCTCTTCTTTTATTTATTTGTTTATTTTTATTATTGGGCTAATATTTTTCTCTAAAATTGTTGGTAGAGTCGCGACCAGACGCCTCTGCTTCCACTAACAATGAAGCAGATAAGCCAAGCAGTTCAATCGAGCAACGATAAGTCTAGTTTCCTGATTGACGGCATTGATGTCAGCAATGTAGGGTTTGTTAACGGTTTATTGTTATTATGTTGCATTTCCTTTGTTTCTTTTTGAATTAGTTTGTATTATTGTAATTGTAATTAATTTTTACATAGGTGAGAGTGGTGGGGATGGCATTCAAGAAAGCTGAGAGGGTCACTGATGTAACATTTGTGATTGATGATGGCACCGGTCGCATCGAATGCAATCGATGGTTAGATTTCTTGGAAAACTACCTGAAAGAGCTCATAGTAATTTTCAGTTAATAGATAGCATCAAAGCATATTGTCACCAAGTTTTATATTTGTTTAGTTAATTAGAAATTGAATAATTGAAAGAGAACCATGATATTGATATGCTTCAAAAGCCTTACTCTTTAGTGTTTCTCATTGTAGCGGTTATGTCTTATAAAGCTTCTAGGGATGTACATAGTTCTTATATAAATCATATGTTAAAACAACAGCAAATATTCATCAGGAGTATGAAATGAAAATTCAATGTGTTCTTATTGTTCATTAAAACTGTTAAACTGATTTTGATTCTGCTGAAATTGGGTTTTCACTTTTTAGGCTGAATGATGCTGTTGACAACAATGAAGTAGGGGGAGTATTGTAAGTATAAGCTCATATGATCTTCAGATGGATTAAAGCTATGATGTTTTCCTTAATTTTTTTTTTAAAAAAATAATTAGGGATGGGATGTATGTTGTTGTTCATGGGCACTTGAAAAGCTTTCAGGGTAAAATGCAGATAATGAGCTTTGCTATAAGGTATGTATCTCTTTTTAACAGACAAAAAAACCAACCTGTTCTAGTTATCTTCTGAACTATCTTTAATGGCTAAATGATAAATGTTTTTGAAATGAAATATCTTATTCTTTCTTTTGCTCTACAGTATGTACTTAGTAATGTAATATATATTCTATGACTTCAATCAATCTTAAAGAAAATTTACTTCCAATTTTAGAAAATAGTCATAATTGCAGCTTGAAATCTAGGAAATATATGAAGCATGCCTATGTGTGATTATATGTATTGTCTGCCTTTTTAAAAATTTTCTGAAATCTAGCTCTAGTCAACCCCATACTAATAAAATAAGGTGGGAGAAATTTTGGTTTGTCAATTCTCTTCATCAGTGGGTTGAATTATGCAGCAGTTAAGATGGACTGCATATTTTGATATACATGCCCAAGTGTCATTTATTTTCCCCCCATTTTGGTCTAATAAACATCTTAAATAGTTAACATTGATTTCTTGCATGATTTTGGTTTAAATAAATGTCAAGAGTAGTATTTCAATTGAAGACATGTAAACCTATCAGGCTATCAGCTTTATAGACAGATTAATGTCAAACATGTTTAAATGTCACGGTTCAAAAAGAACTTTTTTGGATCTAGTCTATCTAGGCATTGCTATACAAACTCCATGTATCAATCTCTTCCTGCTGTATGAAACGAAATTGTAAGCCATTGCACGGAGAAAACCATGTTCTCGGTAGTTGATGGAAATATCACTTATGGAAAATACTAGCTCTAGCCATTGTTGGATTAAATTCATTATATTACAGCCAATGTAAGCAGACTGTCAAAAAGAAATAACAGTATAATTAAAACCAACCACCTGGTTTCTTTGATGGAATGTTTTTACACAATTTGTCTTGGAAGAACAGTAAAGGTTTTGTCATGGGAGATTTTGCTAGAAGTTGGCTACCAGTAAATATGATAATCCTCTGTTGCTAGAAGTTGGCTACCAGTACCCTAATTCTCTCTGTTCTATGTTTAAATTTTGTTTTTCGTTTATCCTCTTCAGGCCTGTGACTGACTATAATATGATTGCAAACCACTTTCTTGAATGTATTTATGTCCATCAGTGCAATGCGAAGCCAAAGGTATGTTTTTATTTGAGCAGCTCTCTGTCTCCCAAATCCCAACTGTATTGCTAATATTTTACCCTGTTCATTTTGACAAGATACAAAG